CTTGACATTTTTTCAGATTTTCATATATTACATGTAGAAATCATCTACTGGTTGCCTATAACTAGTAGATGTAAGACTGAAAAAAAAATCTCTTCAGCCATTTACTTTTGAAAGAGCTCCAGAGCAAGTTGCATCTAGAATCAAGTTTTTTAGATCTTTTCCTTCTGAAAAATCTCTCCTCTTTGTTCTTCTACAGCCTTTTAGGGCCAGTTTCACTCTCTGGCTTACTTTTTCTGTTTTGTTGGGACCAATTTTCTTTCTAATCAAGATAAAATTCACATAACCTAAAATTCACCATTTTAACCATTTTGAAGTGTACAATTCAGTGGTCTTTAGTATATTCACAATGTGTGCAACCATCACCACTGTCTAATTCCAGAAATTTTTCATCACCCCAAAGAGAAATCCCATACCCATTAGTAGTAATTCGCCATCCTCCTCCTCCCCTCAGCCCCTGGCAACCACTAATCTACTTTCTGTGTGTATAGATTTGCGATTTCTGGACATTTTATGTAAATAGAATCATACAATATGTGGCCTTTTTATGTCTTACTTTTTTCACTTAGCATAATGTTTTTGATTCATCCATGTTAACAGTATGTAGCAGTACTTCATCCCTTTTTCATGGCTGAATAATATTCCGTTGTATGGATAATACCACGTTTTGTTTATCCATTCATCAGTTGATGGACATTTAGATTGTTTCTACTTTTTGGCTATTATGAATAATGCTATTATGAACATTCATGTACAAATTTTTGTGTGAATATATAAGTTTTAAGTTGTCTTAGGTGTGTATCTAGGGGTGAAATTGCTGGCTCATGTGGTAACTCTAACTTTTTGAAGAATGACCAAATTGTTTTCAACAATGGCTGTGCTATTTTACCTACCAGGAATGTATGAGGGTTCCAGTTTCTCCCCTTGCTTGTCAGTACTTGCTATTTTTATTTTATTATTATTATTTTTTATTGTAACTATTCTAGTGGGTGTGAAGTGATTTCTCACTGTGGTCTGGATTTGCAGTTCCCTAATGACTAATTATGTTGTCCATGTTTTCATGTGCTCCTTGGCCACTTTTATGTTTTTGGAGAAACTTCTATTCATGTCCTTTGCCCATTTTTAATTGGGTTGTTTTGTCGTTTTGTTGTTGAATTGTGAGAGTTCTGTATATATTCTGGATACTAGACCCATATCAAATATGTGATTTGCATATATTTTCTCCCATCCTGTAGGTTTTCTTTTCTTTCTTGATGGCATCCTTTGATGAACAATAGTTTTTAATTTTGATAAAATTCAACTTATCTGTTTTTTCTTTTGTTGTTTATGCTTTTGGTGTCTTATTATGCCCTGGCTTACTTTTAACCTCTAGTTTCAACCTCTTCATACCTGTCGGCTTTGAATTTTTCCTTTAGTAGATTTTTTTTTTTTTTTTAACTCTTCAAATAATTATCTGCCCCAGTGACCCAGTGACTTGCTCCTTAGTCATTACTCCATCGGCCATTCTTGGGAGAAACTCAAAGGTCCTCAGTTCTAGGATAGCTTTAGGTACTTGTGACAAAAATTGGTTGGCTTTGGGAGGAAGAAACTGGCTATTGGTAATTTTTTCCCCAGCTTTGTTGAGATATAATTGACATATAACATTGTGTAAATTTAAGGTGTACAATGTTTTGATCTGATATACATATATTGCATTATCACCATATGATTATCACCATAGCATTAGCTAACACCTGTATCAGGTCACATAGTTACCATTTCTTTTTTGTGGTGAGAACATTTAAGATGGCTATTGGTAATTAAATCCTTGGGAAACGAGTTAAAGTTTTGGAGTTTAGGAAAAAGATGGAGTGAACTTTCTATACCCTGTATATGTTGACAAAAAGTTGTCATTGTTATATAACATTGATTACCAGTATAATGCTAAGACTGAAGTTTGATAAGGCCCCTTCCTTGTAGGTATTACTATCTAACCACATTGTCCAGGCAGGACCTAGGTAAACAGTTGAAAGATTAAGGGTAAACAAGGTCTTATAGAGTTGACACTTGAATAAAGTAGATGACTCAGTGAACAAAGAGCAGTCCTTGAGTTTGGGACAAATGAAAGGGAACTCGAAATAATCAATTTGAATCTTTACCACACTGCGTTCATGGCAGTTTTCCTATAATTAGCACTAATTCTTATACTATTGAAGACAGTGATTGTTGACATTATTCTTTCATGCGATGCCATCTTTTAGGGTTTCCAGACTTCATAGATAATTGATTTTCATTTTTATAAGTTATTTAGAGGTATAGGATTAGTTTTACTGTTTCCTCACCCCCTACCCTATTAAAGAATATCATAGGGTTCACTTTTTTTCTTGGCTTCAATAGTGCTTTCAAGGAGAGAGAAGTTCTGCTTCAGTGATAACTCTGAGAAATCACTTTTTATTTTGAATAGTGCTTTTAACTTTTAAACATGCATTTCACTTCAATTATCCTAGTTTTTGTTTTTTGGAAATATTTAACTTTTTGCAAAAGATATGCGCCTTTTTATTACTCCTGTCTCAGATTTCATTTCAAATGTTTATTTCATCTTGAATTGAGAGAGAGAGAGTGTGTGTGTGTTTGTGAGACAGAAGAGAGAAAGTGAGAGAGAACGTGAGAGAATGTCTTTATTAAAACTAGACCAGAAAAGCAATTCCACTTTTAGGAGTTTATCCTAAGAAAATAATCAGAAATGGGCTCAATGATGTTTCTACAAGGATGTTCACTGTAGCAGTATGCGTAATAGGACAAAACTGGCCACAATCTGAAAATACAATATAAAGTGTTGGTTCAATAAATTATAGTGCAAACAGTCATTCAGTGAACTACTTGGCAGCCATTAAAATCATGTTGCAGGAAAACTTAATGATTTGGGAAACTGTTTACAGCATGTTAAATGAAAAAACACAAATCGCAATACGGTAGGGAAAGTGTATTCTCAGTTATGTAATGAAAGCTATATGAGCGTGGAATAAAATTTGAAGGCTATGTACCAAAACACTAACTGTGGTTATCTCTGTATAGATAGGATTATGAGCAGTTTTTTTTTGAGGTAACCATATATTGCTTTTATATTTAGGAAAAAGTTTTTGGAGTTCTTTGCAGTATTGCTAATCATTTTAATAGCTTCATCTTGTATTTCACATATTAAATACTTTATTCTTTTTCCTCTCTTGTCTCACACATATACTGTAGTTTTCCATGATAGCATAAATAACCTCATCTATACCTAGAATCTTGTATGCACAGAGAAGATACAGAATCATTATGTTATGATGAAGGTTTGATTTGTGGTTGTAATTTGGTTTCCTTAGGTTAAGATACTGTTGAGCCCAGTGCTTATTTGACCAGTGATGATTGCAAATAACTTTTTGCGATCTCACTTAATCGCTCTATCAAAGAACTGTCTCTATGATAGAAATAAAAAATTCTTCTAAAAAGGGTAATGTATGTATTCTATTACTATATGTATTAGTTTGCTAGGGCTCTCAAAGCAGTATCACGGACTGGATGGCTTCAACAACAAATTTATTTTCTCACAGTTTTGGGTCTAGAAGTCCGAGATGAAGGTGATGCAGTTTGGTTCTCTCTGAGGCCCCTCTCCTTGACTTGCAGGTAGCTGCCCTCTTGCTGCCTCTTCACGTGGTTGTTCCTCTGTGCACATGCCCTGTCGTCTCTGCGTGTCCTAATCTTTTCTTATAAGGACACCAGTCAGATTGGATTAGGGCCACCCTAATGACTTCTTTTTAACTTAATTACCTCTATAAAGTCCCTATCTCCAGATACAGTCAGATTCTGAGGTATTGGGGGTTAGGGCCTCAACATATGAATTTTGGGGGAGACAGTTCAGTCCATAACACTATCATTTATGATAAGTTTTAATGACAAAGTCAAAGTAGTGTTGGTGAAGTAAATTTTATTGTGAATTATTAATGGTTATTTTAAATTATTATAACATCCTAAAGAACTATAGCTGTATGTTACATAGGGGAGAATGTAGAAGATTGTAGATACAGTAACACATATTTTTTATCACCTCTGGAAAACTAACTCAAATCTTATGACCTGTTGACACTTGGGTCCATTTGTATCTGAATAATAGTATCTTTTATAAATATTTATAAAATATTGGTCATCAAATTAAATATTTGAAAGGATGTCATGTGAAGAGAGATTAGAATTAAAGGGAGTGCAATTAAGATTAGTGGGCAAAAGATACAAAAAATTTGCCTTCTGACATTTAGAACTCCCTATAGATGGAATGTGCAGACCTGAAAGTTGCTTGTAACTGAAGTTTTGAATTTGTTGGGGTGTTATTGAGGAAATTTATGTATTGTTGAGTGTGGTTCTGGAGGTTGATTGTTTATTTTTCTTTTCTTTTTTCTTTTTTTTTGGTGAGGAGGATTAGTCCTGAGCCAGCATTTGTTGCCAATCCTCCTCTTTTTGCTGAGGAAGATTGACCCTGGGCTAACATCCGTGCCCATCTTCCTCTACTTTATATGTGGGACGGCTGCCACAGCATGGCTTGATAAGCAGTGTGTAGGTCCGCGCCTAGGATCTGAACCTGTGAAACCCCGGGCCGCCTAAGCAGAGCGTGCGAACTTAACCACTATGCCACCGGGCTGGCCCTGTTTATTTTTCTTTTGAGATTCTCAAAGTGTAAGATTTTTTTTCTTTTTTTTTGTCTTTAAAAAGGTTAACGATACTTCACCTTTATGTAACTAAAACAACAATAAAAAAACTTTAAAATGTAGATTAATCATCAAGAAATGTCATTACATTAACTATTCTGAGGACCATATTCTGTTATTTCTTTTCCTTCTCCCTCTAGTGGGCAGAAAATATTTAAAAAATATAACATGGAAGGGTTTATTAGTATTGGGTGTATAACAATGCACAGTCTTAGCTTTTAAAGAAATTAATAAATGTTAATATTTCAGAATCATTAAAGAAAATGCTTTATTCTTTTCTAGGCATAATAATGGATCTTTGAATGTTCAAGATGTTCTTACCAGCTTTGACAATACAGGAAATGTTTGTAAGTTATATGCTCACTGTATAGAAATATTTTTAGTGTTTCAAAAAGTGAATTTATAATGGATGTTTTTTTCTCACTAATGTTTATTATACTGACTAATGTGTGTGTGTAATAGAAACTCCTATTGTTTATAGCTGCAAAATAAGCCTCATATAAGCGTACCTATTAATGGGATATAAGGGAGTTTTTACATGTTGCAGTTGTGTGCGTGTATGTGCCAGTGAGTGAGTGAGTGTGAGTGACAGAATGTAGGTCAGAAGGAACACTGGACTCTCTGGTACTATCCCTTTTGTCTTTTGTTTCCATTTTGACCTCAGTTAATCCAACAGAAGGGCTGTCTCTTCCTTCTTTGCTGTGTTTTGGGTGCTTTCTTTTCCACTTCCTACTGCTTCTCTTTTTCACTACAGAATAAACCCAGATTATGTTTTCTTTGCTGCTAATATACTTTAATACCAAAACGTTTTCATTTTATGCAACATTATAATATTATAGAATATCTTGTCTTTTCGTCTAGGCTTCTGATTAAGTCATGATAGATTTCTCCACTGAGAATATCATTTAAATAATTATAAACTAATGTCATATGATGAAAGAAATCAGCCAAGAATATCTTTTTTTTTGTGAGGAAGTTCGGTCCTGAGCTAACATCTGCCAATCCTCCTCTTTTTTTGCTGAGGAAGACTGGCCCTGGGCTAACATCCATGCCCATCTTCCTCCACTTTATATAGGACACCGCCACAGCATGGCTTGACAAGTGGTGCGTCGGTGCGTGCCCGGGATCCGAACCAGCGAACCTCGGGCTGCCGCAGTGGAGCGCGCGCACTTAACTGCTTGCGCCACCAGGCTGGCCCCCAAGAATATCTTTATATCACTGTGTCAAACAATACCATGATAGGAGCTGTATACTCCTTCATGTGTGTTGTATAGGATATTTCTCTTAAGATAATGAATTATCAGTGAAATATGATCATTTTAAATGTAAAAATTGTATTCAAATTCTTTCTCAGAGCAAGTTTCAGAACTATAACTACTTATTGTCTGAACTTAAATAACATACTTTGCTAACAGTGCTACTTTATCAAATGCTCTCTCATTTTAGATCTGCATAGAATGATGTCTGATAATCCTCAGGCAATAATTTTATGTCCACGTTATGGCAAGATTTTGATTGTATAGAAAAATATTTATGTATTTTGTCACCAAGGAATCTATAAATATCCTAAACTTATTTCAAAGTATTTAAAATAATGTAAGTTTCCTTTTCATGGATAGTGACAGGTGTACCTTTTAGTTTCTACGTGTTGGCACTTGCTTAATTCTTTCCTACTTAGGCATATCCCGTTTTCTTATTGGGGGTTAGGGCCAGGACTAGGCAAGGGATGCTAGTGGTGGGTGAGAAGACATTCTCCTTCAGTTCTGGGATAATGTTAAATGTCATTAAGTCAGTCTTATGCATAATTTAGAAATATGATCCTAGAATGTTAAATGTGAAATTTTTGATTCAGTATGTAAAAATCAAATATTGTTCCCAGTGGCTCAGTATGAAGTAGGGCCACTAGCTGGCAGCATTATGTAAAATAAAAATATTTTCCTAAAGGTCTAAGCTATTATTTTATACATGAATAACTATCTTATGCTTCTCTAACATTTTTCCCCATCAACTTGTTCCTCCCCACCCCCTAGTTGTTGTTGCATTGACAAATGGAGAAATTGTATGTTAAAGATATTTTTTCACTGCTGTCTGTTGTTTGGTAGAAAGCTTTGAGTCTTTAGAGTGAGACCCACCTACATTTAAATCTTGGCTCTTAAATTCATCTTGAGCAATTCATATCATCTCCATGAGCCTCAATTATTTTCATCTTTTAGAACTGGATATAATGTATGGAAAGTGCATAACATTCTACATTCCTTATAGTTGACATTCAATAAATGGAAACTATTTATTAATTAGTGCTGAGTACTTCTAAAACTTCTTTCAGTTTTTTCCTAATAATGAAGATAATATTAAGGGTTATTCTAATATGTTAAAATAAACTATTTTGATTGAACTAACAAGGCAGGAAAAATAGGTCAAATATCAAAATAGTAATTTATTAAAATGTCTTGTCATAAATATGGTCTTAAGAACCTGAATATATTGGCAAGTGATAGAAGTGATGTCAAAAATAAGACCTATTAAAACATGTTTTTCATGTAACTTTTATGTTATACTCTCTTTATTTTAAAAGAAAAATCTGTACCGATATTTACCTAATGATAAATTGGTAAAGTTCTGTTCCAATAAAGTAAATGTTGATTATACCTTTCATATAATCTTTGCCAAGGCTTAAAGTGATCAAGGATTTGATTTTTCACTTGATGCCTCAAATACTTGATTTTACGCTAAGATATTAGGTTGAGTTTGTGACTGGAAAACCCAGCAGAGGGCGCCATAATCACAGTTCTGTCTCACAGCCCAATATAATTGGAATAAATAACTTGAATAATAACTGTAAGTTTTCATCATGTAAACATATAAAGATATATGGATGTTTAAACATTTCCATTTGATTTATTTCTTATATATTTAATATATTCAGCAATTCATTAATACAAAAAATAGATTTTCCTGACTGATTTTTTAGTTCATTTTGTTTTTTGTTTTAAATATCAGTTTAATTTTTAAACTTCTAGCTTTAAATAAAGGAATACTTTTGGTCTTGTTAATCTTGATAGAGAGTGAAAGTTCTATACAAGAGTATCGGTTCCTAAATCATCACCATGTAGCACACTGGATAGTACACTGAAGGATATTTAGAATGAGAGGAAAAGTTTCTAATACTGTGAGAGAAACAATAGATAGAGTTATCCATTTACTTCAAGATTTTGTTTTTAGATTAATATAATTTCCTGATAATAGAAAAAATAATTAAAATATTTTATAGTTACAAAAGCCTGATATGTGTAATGTAGTAAACAAAATATATTCGTGGTTTAGTAGAACCATTAATCTCAATTTTAATTTTGAAAATCAAGTAATGATTTTATTCACTGTGAATTTTCAAAGATGAGAGAATCAGTCTTACTTCCAGAATTTGTTCATGCTCTAACCGAAAAAGATATGGAAAAATCTTTAATTTTGGAAAATATATGAAACCTCTAGATAGTTTCTTATTTCCTGATATATTAGAAAAGAAAATATTCTCTATATTTACCTTTATTATTTAAAAGTGATGTGTGTTTTTAAATGTATTATCTGCAAAGTGTTTTATATTTTGGAGATATATTTTTTCACTGTTTGAATTCCTTTGAATGTTGTAGAAATTAAAATGAATCTTACAAGATCATTTCTGCATAATAATTCATTGCTATATAAAATATGACCCTAATCTTCTTTTTATGTGTTTCTGTTTGCTATTGGGGAAAACAAAATATTTTGAAAGTCAAGCTTCCTTTTTGTTTACCTCTAACTAGGGATAGGTATGCGTATTTCATTCTTTGGATTCTATTACTTAAGAACGTGCTTCCTTTTAAAATATAAAAGCTGCTCTTTGGAGAGGTTGTGTCTGCTGTTGATTCCTCGTGCCTGGAAGGAGATGCCATCAAGCTACCCAAGGAAAAGTATAGGATGACATCCTTCACCTCAGACGAGGTGCTGGCGGCTTCTGTGTTTCCTGTAACATGTCACTCAGACACCTTGGGTAACAAGAGAGTCCTCTGTAAGCACCACAGCAGATCTCTTGCTTCTGATTTCTCCGTGGGCAGAGTCTCCTTTCCAGCCAGTCCCTGACCTCTAATCAAAGAAGCCTCATCATGCTGTGTCTCTTCTAAAACCATTTTCTCTCTCTCCAGTGTCATCTCTTTCCTCTACTGAAATGAATTTTTTAAAGATTCTCTTCAGAGCTTAGTTGATCTAAATTTGGCTGTCATAGTATATAGTGTAACTATTTGGTATTTGTAAAATCTCATCAGTGATTGGGCATATCATGGCTTCATTTGCACTTTTTTAGCACATCATCCTTTGTTTGAGATCATGAACAGATGAGTTAATACTTCTCATACAGTTTATTGTATACAATGTATACACTATAATGTGTATAAGCCTTTAAAGGATAAGAAGTCAATAGTTATTATATATCATTGCAGTAACCTAGTGTGAATCAGGATTCCTGGCTAACAATGCAGCTTAAATTTGGAGAATATATTGGTAAGACACCTTCTGCCATTCTTTGAAAATTTTTTTTTCTCCTGGCTGGGCTACATGACAGAACCCTGTGGTAGTTGGTGTCTCATGGTTTCCTGGAGAAATTTGTAGACCCTCTGCCTTATGTACTCTTACATGTGATGATGGTGATTTTTTTTTTTTCCACGTGAATCTTAGGGCTGACCTGGACTTTTAATACACACAGCTACTCTTGCTTCCGGATCCTTCCTAGTGGTCTGATAGCGGGACCTGTTTTGTGATGTGTGCAAAACTGATGTCTTTTGGGTTAGTAATCAATTATTACTTAAGGAAATATTCTTTTTAAACGCAAAATATTTTCACTTTCTACTTGTATTTGGGAAACCAAAGGTAACTGTCTCTTAGAAAATATAGTCCAAATTTTTAGTTTTTCTGTTTTACTGTTATTGTGTTACATAGTTAGGGTCCGTAATACTGTTGGAAGTCTCAAAGCTTCAGGAAGGTCAGCTTGGACTTAAAAATTTTTTCCTCCTTTAAATAAAGGTATATATGTGTGTGTATGGGTATAGGTATATAATGTATATGTGTATGTATGTGTGTATGTACATATACATGTGTTTATATATACACACTTTATAAATTAGTTTGATTAAAAAATGAGAAATTTGGGCTTTTATGGGTAATTGCTCTATTTTTAACTTAGTGAGGTCATGGAAGGATCATGGAATATGAGGTTCAGGTTTTAACTCTGCCACTTACTAGCTGTGTGGCTGTAAGCAAGTCTTCGAATAAATCTTAACTCCTTATTAGAATTGTGTAAGAAACAATAACTATCTTG